CCCTGCCCTGCTCTGTACAGCCATGCTGGCAGCCTCCACACCAATTTAATGTTCCCCTGCCTTAAAGAGGGTCAAGGAGAAATCCCAGCGTGATAAAAGGCAAAAAGCTGATAACATATGGTTTGGGAGTCTTATCAAAATAAATTGTAAATCCACATAGTAATTATGTCAGTCTTCAAAGGAGTGAGTATGTCGCATTTTGGCTTTTTAAAATTTTAGAGTGGAAGTTAGTTAAAGCTCAAAACAGACTTTTCTTTTTTCTTTTAAGTTTAATTCAGTTTTTTAGCAAAATGAAGAAGTGGATGGACATGTCAAACCTGCCCCAGGAATTCCGAGAGCGAGTTGAGAGGCTGGAGAGAAATTTTGAAGTGTCAACTGTGATTTTCAAAAAGTTTGAACCAATATTTTTTGATATATTTCAAAACCCTTTTGAAGAAAGTTCCAAACCGCATCGAAGCAGGAAGCAGAGGTATTTCTTAGGTTTGATGTGACTTTTCCCTGGAAAGAGTTAGACTCAATATAAGTTTATGAAAATTAATTTCCAGAGTGATGGTGTCTCTTTGACTCTGAAATGCTGCCAGTGCAGAGCCACCCCTGAGCCCGGTGGGTGCTGCTCAGGCCAGCTGGGCTCCCCATGCAGCTGCTGTTGCACAGGAGCTGTCCCACAGAGAGGTGTCAGGGCGTGCTGGGGACAGGTACCATGGGGTGGGTTAGCTCCAGGGTACAGTGAGATCAATGCTTGAACATTTGCAGAAATAGCTGAAAAGCACAGGAGTGTTTTGTGTTGGCACAGTGCTGGCTGGGGGCTGGTGTCACACACAGCATGGTCCCTCTGCTCAGGGCTGTCACATCCCTGTGACCTCCATGCTGCCATGCTTGCCAGAGGAGTGGGAGCACAAATGGGAGGAAGTTACAGCTGATGTGCTCGTTTTTATGACAAATTTGGGAACTGAAATGAAATTTCCTTTCGGGAAGGGAAAAGGAATCTTGCGATTTCAATGGGGACCAATAGAGGAGTCTTTGGTGCATGTCCATGCTCTTGGTGTCATCTTCAACACACACATGGAATGTCTGCCTTACTGAAAGGAGCTCATCCATGCTCCCTGCAAGGATATGTGGCTGTGACAGCTTTGTAGTGAGATTGTAACCCTGGGGATGAGGGAGCCAAGCTGTGATCTGCAAGGTGTTTTTGTCCGTTTCTGTGGGTTCTGTGGATGTGAGGGGGGATAATTGTTGTGGTGCAATGCTCCAGTGTCCTCCCACAGGCAGAGTGCAGGGGAGGTGCTTTGTTGGTGTTCCTTTCACAGGGCAGTTTTGGTTGGTGCCACTGCGGCTTTGGCTGCTCTGTGGGTTGAGTCATGTCCTCCTTGGTCTTCCAGCTCCGTGGGCTTGGATAGTTCTGCTCCAAACAGGAGTCAGCAGCTGAGCTGTAGTACAAGCTATAATTGCCTGTTCTGAAGGGATGGCTGATGCTTTAGTAAAATATTTTGGAAAAACCATCACTGGAATATATGTAGCCTTTGTCACCTCCCCACGTGTGGCTGTAGGAGGGTTCTGTGGGAGGTGTGAGAACAGCAGAATAGTGTGGCAGGGTCAGAGGCCAGAGGCAGCCTTTGGCTTGGGAACAAGGTTGGGAAGTCGTGGATGTGTGCAGGACGCTGGAGCTAGGTCAGGCATTGTCTGTCAGGCAGTGAGAGCTGAACTCAGGACATGTAGCTTATATTGTGCCTTAATGTGAAATTAAGACAGCAGCTTCAGCTGCTGTTTTGAGCAGGGAAATGGAATGAAATTTGAACTGTAGAACAAGGTCTGGCTTCCTGGAACTGAAGAGTAACTTCTCCCCCTGTTGTTCTTGTTGACAGGCGGGTGCCATGCAGCGTCAAAGATCTCTTCAACTTCTGCTGGACTCTCTTTGTGTACACTAAGGGTAGGCTGCTTGCTTTGCCTGCATGGTTTGTATACATTCCCAGCTGTGAACTTCTGTTGTGTTGCTTGACGTGATGTGCTGTCTCTTAAAGGTAATTTCCGTATGATTGGAGATGATTTAGTAAATTCCTATCATTTACTTCTGTGCTGCTTGGACCTGATTTTTGCCAATGCCCTTCTGTGTCCAAACAGAAGAGATTTGCTAAATCCATCATTTAAAGGTATGGTGGGGATAGATTATTTCCAATCGAGTGTGCTTTGTTCTCTTGGCTCATTTGAAGTGAAGTTGAAGGTTGGTTGTCTTCCCCCCTCCTGGCTCCCAGGCTTACCAGTGGAATCCCACACTCCGGAGATGAAGGGCTCTGAGGATCCTCCCTGCATCATTGGCACGCTCTGCGAGCTGCACGACGGGCTCCTGGTGGAGGCCAAGGGCATCAAGGAGCACTACTTCAAACCTTACATTGCAAAGCTGTTTGATAGGAAGGTACATCTTGTGAGTTTTATCAGCGCTTGCTGGTGCTCCCTGGTGGTCTCGAGGTCATTTAAGTCCTGCAGGTTCCACAGGGAACTTGTTAATGAGCAGAGGAACTGAGACTGGCTCAGGTTTTCTTTGCATTTTAGCAGGACCAGAATTCCCTCACACTTTTAATGCTGTGTGCTGGAAGGTCTCCTCTGTTTCAGCGTTTTATGTCTGTAAAGAAGCTTTCCTTTCTTGGCAGTGTGAAACTGAATCATGAAGGATGGTGTTTTCTTCAGGCACAGGAAAAGTGATCTCCTTGTGAAATAATTGTGTGGAATGTCTGTCAATGGGGTGTGTGTCCTGCTGCTTTTCTTGAAGTTGAGCAAAATGCTTTGAAAGGAGAGGTCGAGGTTGCAGATGTACAAATTGTCCTGTCTAGTTCTGATCCTGGAAATGTTTTCCAAGCTCTGTGGAAGCAACTTTGTAGTTGCTCATTGAGCCAGTCCCTAAGCCAGCAGTGAGCAGATGTGGCATTGCAGGGCTGGCTCTGAGCAGTGAATTTGTCTGGAGCTTGGATCCAGCTGGGCTTTGTGCTCTGTCTTGGTAATGGCACTGTAGCCCTTTGGTCCAGGCCAAAAAAAAAGAGTCCAGTTATGCACCTAAATCTCTTTTTTTTTTTTTTTTTGACTAAAACCATCATGCTCGCACACTTGAAACAGTTCTGATTTGATTATCTAAGATACTTCTGCTTTTTATTCTTAGATCTTAAAAGGAGATTGTTTATTGGATCTTTGCAACTTTACAGAAAATAGGTAAGCTACAGCTTTTGTTCTCAATCACAGGTCTTGGTTCATGTCTAAAGCACAGGCCTTTGTGTACTGAATCTCAGTTTTACTGTTCCATTGTGATTCCATATCTAATGGGTTTTGAGTATTTGACCACCGAAGCTGCTCTCTGGCTGAAACACTTTCTGGATCAGAGGTGTGGCCATTGTCAGGAGTTCAAGCTGCAGGGATTTTTTCTTGGTACCAGGTTTTTTGGTGCTTGCTCTGATTTTCTGGCAACCATAATCTTTGAATAATGTAATGCAAACTAAAACCTTGGCTCTGAAGGTTACAGATATGCTTCTATACACATATTATTTCCAGGTAGGGAGGTCTCTAAATTTATTTCTCTATCTCTAATTGAGTGTATAAATCTGTGAATATGGCAGATGGACTCAAAAGAATAGGAAGCAACAATTGCAAAACCACAGAAAAGAGGTGAACAATTTCAATGGGAGGGAAGTGTCGTTGTTTCAGAAACTCTGAATTCACTTTGAAAGCTACTTTAAATGCAAACTATAAAAAATCTTTGTCAATTTTTTTGCCTTTTACAAAAAAAACCTAATAATTTGTTTCTGCCTTTTGTTTGTGAGCTTTTAACTTGTTGGTTTGCTTTGGGAATTTTGAGCAAAGACTCACTTGTTTTAACAATGTAGATAACACCTCAATTTAGATATAAAGTCGTTTCTTTGATCATTGAAAACTGAATTTCTCTTAGTATTTCTACTTTAAGATTAATAGTCTTCCTTCAGTAACACTGTCATATGGAATGATACAAAGGTCCCTGTTCTTTTGCAAGTAGTCTGACATCTCAAAGACTCTTGTAAGCATCTCTGGGGTTTTTTTTGTCCAGCTTTTCACAGACCTTTACATTTTCCTAAAAGACATGGGGCAGCTGAACCTGTGATGCAGTGAGGTTTCCTGTGGGATCACAGGTTGCTTGTGCCATGAATACATTGTTATATTCCATTATTATACGTGCTGGAACTGCATTCCTGGCCCAACTGCAGGCAGGATTATTGGTGCAAACCATTTCTGATTTTCATCCAGAAGTTCCATTCTGCTTCCCAAGTATATGTTTAAAGCCTTGCAACCTTGGGATTAAATATTCCTTTTTTCCCAGCTGGGTTTGGTGGAATAAAGAAAATGAAGGATTTGTTTGGTATCACATGTCAGTGATGATTTTAGAAATAAAACCCAGTCAGAAAACTCCTCACTTTCCCCTACTCTGCACCATTATTAGAATTATGGGCTACAGAGTGGCAAGCCCAGAAGTGCAGCACTGGGTGCAGTTCTCCCTGGTGCACAGATTTAACCTCTGAGCAGCACTTCCAGATTGGTTTATTCACAACTGGCGTGAAAGCCAAGTTGGTTTTTCCCTCTTCTTACTGATACCCAGATTGTGGTGGAAGGTGATTCCTGCAGTGATGCTGGAGAGGTTTGGGGTGCAAGGGCAGGCAGGGATGGCCGGGCAGGCTGCTCAGGGAGGCGGGAGCAGCCCTGCTGCCAGAGCGTGAAACTCTGACCCTGTGTTGGGCTGGGGCAGCTCCTGAGCTCCTGGGGCACCTTCTGTGTTTCTCAGCAGCTAAACCTTTGCTCTCAAACCTGGGCTTCTCTTTCAGCAAAGCACTGAATAAAGAGTATGAAGAGTATGTTCTGACCGTGGGTGACTTTGATGAGAGAGTTTTCCTGGGAGCTGATGCTGAAGAAGAAATTGGCACTCGAAAATTCCCTGAAGATGTGCCAGGAGAGAAAACGGCAGCGCGAGCTCACATGGAGTGTCATCTGCAGCAGCATTTTGAAAAGGTGATTCATTTAACATGGCAAGCTCACTTGAAGATCTCCTTCAAGTTTTCTCACCCTTATGCACTCTTTGAATCATTGAGGTGGCTTGAAATTTCTTCTTCCTGGGAGAGGAAGATGGTGAACACAGGCTTCAGTGCTGTCTTGCTATAAGGAGAAAAGGTGGTATCTTTTTTCCTGTGGAATTTTTAAAATAACTGTTCCTTCAACAGAATGAGTGCACTTTCATGTGTATCGTTTGGTTTTGTCCACGAAAAATCAGTAAGTAATTAATACTCAAATACATATTTGAGTCTTAGTTTTGATCGAGCTTCATTTATACCCCACAATCATACCACAAAACCTTGACACCCACTGTTTCATTTCTTAGGAAAGGAAAAGTCAACTTTTCTATGGAAAATAGGATTCACACATAAGCCTTAACAAAGTCTCTCTTCATTACAGAAAGTAGCCTATAAACAGAGTTAATGTTTCACTGTGTTTAAAAATGTATCTAATGAAGCTGACATGCAGGAAAACAGTTGCTTGATGACTTTTTAATCTTGGATAAGGGGGGAAAATAGTATTGGCTGTGTGAAAGAGCCATATACTGTTGGATTTACATATCAATTAAAAAAATAAGAATTCTTATTCTGCGATACTGGTGCAAGTGTAAATGAATCATAGGTCTTGGCTTTTTCTCCCAAATATAAGTGTATTCTATAACCAAGCACATTAAAGATGGGAGTTTGGAAAGGGTTTTTTAATTCTAAGCTTCAGTTTCTGTAGTACAATAATATTACTGTTTATGCATAACAGCTGCAGGCTTCACCTTTTCTCACTATTTGCCTTGTATCTTCAGAATGTTGTCAGTTCAGGTAATTAAATCCAAAAACTTTATTGTGTCGCTTCCAGACAGCAGGATCCAAATAGATAAGTACAGTCCACAGAGCTCCGTCTGCTCAGTGCCACTGCATCCTTTGGCTGGAGGATGTAGGGAGCCCCATTTCCCAGGGAATGTTCTCCTGGAACCTCCCCTGGGCAGCTCTGCCACCCACTCCTTGTGTCACCAGCTAATGCAGTTGGCAGCTGAGAATGGAAGCATGTGCTTCCTCTTCCTTGCCCTGTATTTTCAATGTTCAAATAAGCCTAAAAAGTTACAGGTTGAAAGATTTTAGGTCTTGTTTTACTGTGTTTTAGTTGTAAAATCCCTTTGGGTCAATTTTTGTCTGCTCAAAGATTTGTTATATTTTCTATTAATGGAGATTATATTACAGATATATTTTGGAGATTATATTATAGATATATTTTCTATTTATGGAGATTTTTAGTCACTTCTGAGCTCTCAGGTGAAGCCTTCACGTGGTTCTACTAGTGGTGTAATTTTAATCTTTGAAGGAATTTTGCAGGAGATGCTCATTTGGAAGGTGATTGAAACAGTGTTGTTGTCTGATTTCTGTTTATTATTTTTCTCTGTCTGACAGAAAAGGTCATTTGCACCTTCAACCCCACTGACTGGCAGGAGATACCTGCGAGAGAAGGAAACTGCCTTCACTCCTGTGGCCTCAGCCACACAGAGCGTGAGCCGTCTGCAGAGCATGGTGGCTGGGTTGAAAAATGCACCAAGTGAACAACTTACAGCTATTTTTGAGTGAGTATGTCCACTTCAGCTGCTTTCATTGACAGGAACTCATCTTTTGGCTTTTTTTCCCTTTGGGGCAGAGTATTTTGGTCTGTGTTTCTGTATTATTTCTTGTTGAAGGATTTTCTGTTTTCTCGATGGTCTCGCCTGGAGGAGGATGGCTGGACACACACACCCCCATCTGACTTGTCACCACCATTGTGTTAATGGAGCTTCAGCTTTTGCTGATCTTGATTTATCTGTCTGCTTGAAAGCCAAATGCTTTTTTTATTTGTTTACATTTTAAACAAGTACTTATCAATTAAAAGATGTGGTGACCATGTTGGCAGAGGTTTTGGAGAAGGGCTTGTTCAGCTGAACAAGCTGCAGTCTTTGCCCTCAGCTGGGAAGATAAAACTGAGCCCATACAGGCTGCCCATTTCTCCCTGACACTGCTGCAGGGTGTGTTGGTGTTACCCATGGCACGAGGATGAGCCTCTCATGGCCCTGGTCACTGTCAGTGCTGACCTGGAGTAGCAGCAGCCGCGTTTCCCACTCAGGATGTGCCTGTTCCCTGAGCACACTTCAGATCACTGCCTTCCTCCCTGAGCACAGCTCATAAAAAGCAGTCATTGAATAGTAAATACCTGTGAAGTTGCTGGGTGTTTGCCTAATATCTTTCCAAGTTAAGGTCCTGCTGTGTTACAGTGTAAGGTCTCCAGATGTATTTTTACAAATCAGAATGGACATTTAGTATTAGCACTTAATATTTGAAGCCCAAAAGCAATGTTCTTTTTAAAGTAACCATCATAAACAGGTGAAAAATATTACTTTCTGTTCTCATCTTTGGAGTTATGTACATTTGAAGGTTTTGCTAGCACTAGTTCCTAAAAGTTTACAGCTGTGCTCTGTGGGATACATTTGTTTAGAATGTTTCTTGGATTGTTTTTATAAGGACTGATACTATTTATACTCTACAATTAAGATATTAATGTGTCTGTAGTCTCTAATTAAACATGTGGTTGTTCCAAATAATAAACCAGACTGTCAAGAAAGAGGTAAATATTAAAATGGGAACAATAATTGAATAAGCCTTTGGCAAGAGCTGTGATGAGTACTTTGCTCATCCTGCATGTGAGTTCAGCAAATACTCAGATCTATGTACTGTATCCCTGGAAGAAATGGAGAAACTATAGTTTGGACTATGTCATGTTCTATGCTTTTCAGTATTTTCTTTTTCAAACTAAAATTCCATGGAAAAGTTTTGAAGTTAATTAGAAGGCTTTGTTCAAAGAGAAACCTTAGCTGATTTTAGTTCATGTCAGAGTAATTCAGTGTCTTAATTTGACACAAGCCACGGGCCACTGTCCTCTAAAACAGAGTTGCTGGAAAATTTAGAAGCATTCAGAATGAGCATCTCCAGCTAGAGATATTGTGGCCCTTTTTTATGGCAGTGACAATGTGGAGTTCATCAGTTCCCCCAGTCTTGGTAGGGAACAGGAAGATGCTGCTGCCTCTTCCCTCTGAGCTTTCCTGTGCTGCCTCAAGCTGAGCTGGCCAGTGAGGTGTCGTGGGTGCCTTTGGATGG